CCTCAACTAACCTACTGTAAGAAAATGTTCATTTAGGGACAGTATGAGAGGTGGGTTAATCATGAACAATAAGTAAGTCTCCTGGTGATTTATTAGTTGTGTTCCCTACTCTTAACGAAGGTTTGTACTCTCACAAACAATTTCAAAATTTTGTCCTTAAGTTTTCTTACCTGAGGATAAAATGGAGCAATAACAGGACCTGTTATTTCATCCTCTCGTTCGAGCTGTACCACAACATTCACTGATGAGCCAGTATGAAGTCTGTCTTTGTCCTGAACTTCATAACTCATTTCAATGTTTGGATATCTGTTACAAAACCTTGCAACATCTGCCATCTGCACATCAGTTAACTGGAGCAATTTTGATCGATCTTCATCTTCTAGCTCCATAATGTCAAATACAGTCTCCACACCCTGAAAACAAAAAAATCTCCATTGAAATATATTGTTTGCAAAGTGAATTACTAAAAATCGATATGCGAAGCTATACAGAGATCCAATTTCTTTTGCTTTATTTGCTTTCAATTAATTATCTTTTAAACTAAAAATTAATAACAAACAAAAATGAACAATGCCCAGACCTTTTCAGTACATCTTTTAATCACATCTGCATTAAAATGAGGTAACTGTTTCAAGTAAGAGTCTTTGCTCCACATTGCTTGTGTAACCATTTGTGCAAGTTCCATAGCAGCCACTGCTGGAGAGAGCCAACCATTGGAACTGAGCACATCCACACAAGCCTGAATCAAGCGAATGGCTTTGCTCAAGATAACTTCAGTGTCTCCTTGCAATTCTGCACCCAATTGTAGTCTAGAGAGGTGAGCCTAGAAATAAAAGTAAGTAAGTATGTAAATGGCAAAGTTAATATTTTCTGTTATGTACATTAACTAAGATTCCTAAATAAAAAAAAGGTTTCAAATGAAAATCAAATCAGTACTAAATATGTATTCAGGTCTTGTCTTGCACATAAAGAACATACAAACTGATAATGTAAGCAAACTCAGTATTGCCTTAAGATTTTAAACAAATATGCAATATTTCAATCCAGATATATCATAACGAATTACAACTAAGGTTTACAGTATACAAGGGGTTCACACTACGCATTGCCAGAGTTAGACAATTTTGGCCCTGAGGCCCAAATGTAGACCTCTCCGGTATACTGAATGTTACAAATCTTTCATAATAAAATATTTGCTTATAAATATGTTTTTCTTTGTAAGAAATGAGATGTCCATAGTTCTTATGTGCATACAATGTTTACAAGTAACAATTACATCTAATTCACAATAAACTTATTATTCACAGAAAATATTATATTGGCAGTAAAGTCTAGGAATATTTTTTAAGAGTGCTGTTGCTTACTTGTAGCAATAAGTTGGTCTTCACATGAGGGTCATTGTACTTAGCACCTGGTGCTAATTTATTGGGCAATCTTTGAGCAAGACTGCGCAGCAGGGTGTCTTCTCTATGTCTAACTGGAACATCTTCATATTCTGCAGCCGTTGAAATAATTTCCAGGAGACCACGAATTTTTGTTTTATTGTTCAGAGATAAACTAAACAGTTCAATAGTTGTATAATTAATGTAGTAATAAGCAGCAATCATTCCCAAATTTAGGGGAAGGCAATCCATTTCGTCTTCAATGCTGATGCACTTAGACTGTTCTAGATCATTCAAAGTGTTTTCTACCAATTCCGAAAGATGATCAGACAAATGTCGATGAGTAACACCTTGTAAGTTATAATAGTTAGGATTCTGTG